TGACAGTGTTAAACAGTTGCAATAATACTGATATAAACGATAGTCCTAAAAACACACAGACATAAAATTAGAGAAAAATGATATATACAAACTAGTCCGGAAATGCTGGTAGTTTATTTTCACATAAACAATGCTAAATTGCAAACACTGAATTTCTTACTGTAAAAATCAAAGAAGAAATGACAACAGAGCAGATGCCACCAGATGAGAAAATGTACAGGCTAACTAAATAAAGGAGGAAAAACAGTTAATTTTGTTGCCATAGATGTATACATATACATACATATGCATACCTCAAATATACCAAAATGGTTAAAAATTATTTTGGAAACTTTCTGAAGACCAATAATGGACTAAAATAGTTCGTATTTCTTGTGGATAATACATTGTGCCAGACTAATTCATATCACATTTGCTTTGCTTCTAAATTGTACCAATGGAAATTCTGCCTAATGGTGGGTTGTTGTACCCAGGGGCTCTTGTGCAAGAAGGTGATTATAGGTTTATATTCATTTTTTTTTTGGGTCCGGTCGTGGGGCCTGAACTCTGGACCTGGGCACTGTCCCTCAGCTCTTCTGTTCAAGGCTAGCACTCTACCACTTGAGCCACAGTGCCACTTCCGGCTTCTTTTTTTTTGCTTATGTGGTGCTGAGGAATCGAATCCAGGGCCTCAGGCAAGCAAGGCAAGCACTCTACCACTGAGCCACCTTCCCAGCCCAGGTTTGTATTCTTTCATGGGTTGTAAAATCATAATGCAAATAAAACAACCTATTTTTGTTAATGAACAAACACAGAAGCTCTAAAAAGTTTCTATAATTCTGTTTTAACCAGAATGAATGTCTTGAATGATACAAACCAAAGATGGTACTTAAATTCCATAGAAAAGTGTTCTAACCAAACTACATTGGGATATTTGGTACAAAATATGCTTCAAAGTGAACTAGGTTTATCCAGTGTACATATTGAATGAATGGATCACCATTTATAATGATACTACATTTATCCTTTACAAAATGATGTTCATGTCTAAAAATAATACAGGCACTATACTAGATAAATTAATTTTTTCTGTATATATTTTTATTGTAAAAATACTGTACAGAGGGGTTACAGTTACATGAGTAAGGTAGTAAGGTAATGAGTATATGTCCTAGACATATACTAGTTATTGCAAATAAGGGAAACCCTGGGACCTATATTTCTTTGGTCCTGGCTTAATTCACTTAATATAATTTTTTCCAAGTCTTTCCATTTCCTAACAAATGGGGCAATGTCATTCTTTCTGATGGAGACATAGAATTCCATTGTGTATATATACCACATTTTCTTGACCCATTCATCTACTGAGGGAGCATCTGGGTTGGTTCCATATTTTAGCTATGGTGAATAATGCTGCAATAAACATAGATGTGCTGGTAGTTTTAGTATGGCTTTGTTTGTGATCGTTTGGGTAAATGCCCTAAAGTGGGATCGCTGGGTCCTAGGGGCGCTCTATGTGGAGTCTTTTGAAGAACCTCCATACTGCTTTCCAACGTGGTTGAACAAATTTAAATTCCCATCAACAATGTAGTAGGGTTCCCTTTTGGCTGCATCCCCTCCAGCATCTTAAAAGATTTCTTGATTATAGCCATTCTAACTGGAGTGAGGTGGAATCTCAATGTTGTCTTGATTCGCATTTCTTTTATGGCTAGTGAAGTTGAGCATTTCTTTATGTTTCTATTGGCCATTCTTATTTCCTCTTCAGAGAAGTTTCTCTTTAAGTCGTTAGCCCACGTATTTATTGGGCAGTTGTTTCTTTGAGGATTTGTTGTTGGGGGATTTAATTTTTTGAGTTCCAGGTATATTTTAGATATGAGACCCTTGTCTGTTGTATGGCTACTGAAGATCTCCCAATCTGTGGGCTTTCTGTTGATCTTGCTTGCTATGTCCTTTGCCATGGAGAAGCTCTGCAATTTCATGCGATTCCATTTTTCCAACCTTTCTTTGATTTGTTGTGTTTCTGGGTCTCTATTAAGAAAATTTTGTCCTTTGCTAAGGAGCCTTAGAGTTTCTCGTATTCCTTCATGTAATTTTTTCAGGGTGTCTGCTTTTAAAAGGCAAAAGATTTATACCATCAAGAGAAACCAGAGTGTGGGGGTGTCTGCTTTTATTTTGAGGTCTTTGAGTCATTGGAGTTGATTCTGTTCCATGATGATATAGACATCCGATTCTTAAAAAAAGAAAAAAAAAAGATAACGGCAAAACATTTAGTTTAAGAAATAGTGTTCTAATGGGAAACTAGGATTATTTATCTGATTTTTTTTATTCTGTCAGATTTTCAGTTTATTCATAAATGCCTGGGTTTCTGTTTATTATTATTAAAGTAAAAATTATAGTAATCCTTTATTTAGTGATTATCCAGTACTAATCCCATAATGAAAGCATGGCATATGTGTTTAAAATGTATTTTTCAAACAACTCTAAGAAGAGAGTTACTTTGACTTTCCCATAGTTCTATTACTAACAAAGTTATGAACTTAAATAATCTGTCTGCAATATGTTGTCATAGTCATTACACTTCTTATGATAGCATGAAATTAAATTTTATAAGGTTTATTGTTATAAATCTACCTATCTACATATCTCTCTAACCTGTTCAAAGATTTTGTTGTATCATTAATTTATGGTACAGTGTCTGCCTGAGGCAGTATAAATAAAATTCACAATTCAATCATCAGCCACAGAGTTCTTCAATGATGAGTGAATTCAAAACTCACACTTATTATATTGGAATAACATTTCAGTATTTTCGGTTTAGACCAAGGGTATACAATGAGATTCTACCTACTGGCAATTTGCATGGAGATGTACAATATGTACTTGTGTGTGTGTGTGTGTGTGTGTGTGTGTGTGTGTGTGTGTGTGTGTGTTATGAGATTTTGATCTTAGGGCTTCATACTTGCTAGACACCACCCTCTTTTGGCTTTATATATTTTTCAGGTGAAATCTCATGTTTTGGCTAGCCTGGACAATGTTCCTCTTATACCTCATATGTGACTGGGACCACTGATGCATGCCACCACACTCTGCTTATTTATTGAGATGGAGAGGCATCATACTGACTTTTCCAAGGCTGGCCTCAAATGATGGTCCTAATCTGTGTCTTCATGGTAGCTAAAATAGCAGTAGAGTACTTGGCTTTACATCTATCTCTTTAATGATTAGTATTTAATACTTTTAGGTTTAATGATCTCTGGTGTTTCATTAAATTAAGACAACAGGATTTCTTTCTATATCTCATATAATTACTATAAAATTGAAAGTAGTTTTAGTTTTAAGAGAAGTAAAATCTAAATTTTAAAAACTCATTGGAAATTATATAGTAATTACATAAAATATTCACATATATGCACACACATATATATTATATAGTATTGTAAAGTCATCAGGGTTGATATTTTTTATTATAGTTCGCCTTAAGAATCTTCTTAGTATGGATGTAGAAGAAAGAAGAAGAACGAAAAAGGAAGAGGAAAGGAGAGGAGGGGAGAAAAGAAGTGAGGGGAGGGAGGAAGAGAGAGTGCAGTTGTGAGATACAGGGAGGAGAGGAGGAGAAAGGGAGAGGTGGTACAGTTGGTTTTTCTAATTATTCCAGAATTTTATATATGATTTGAAGATTAATTAAGTAAAGCTGATTTGGATTTTTAGCTTTACTGGAGGTATCTTGAACTGTCAGTCTGGTATGGAGTGAAGTGAGGTGACAATCACCTGGTCTTTCTGTATAGAAGATGTAGTGGATTCTAATAATGAAAATAGATACAAATTTGAAGTCACTAATTGGAGAAATCAAGAGAAAAGAGATAAATTAGGAATTATTCACTTATTGAACATATGCATTTGTGAACTAATTTGTAATCAGGGAGTCATGCACTAGCTGCAAGGAAAAACCAAAACGAAATCATGAATATTCCATGGCTAACAAAATATATGTTATCATGAAAAATAATCTCTTCTGTACATCTAAGAAAAGCATGCATTTATTTCAAAGTCAAGTAAATATTAAATTTTACATAATTACAGTTTGAAGAAATTACTATATCTGGAGAAATATCATTGTGCTACTTATATGTGCATCCAAATAGAATGAACATTAGTTTTACATTGTTAATGTGAAACAGAATTAAGACTGTTGATAGTAGCAGGTTAGGTTTGAGTAACTATATATATATGTAAATATATATATATATATATATACACACATATTTGAAATAATATTTTTTCAAAATGCTGGCTCAAGAGCTATTATGAAATATATACTATTTATATAGTAATCTTGAACAGTTACATAATCAAAATTAAAAGATTAATTCATACCATGTTCTTCCAAGTGGAGTATTTTCCAAGTCCCAGTGTAATTTATCTACCAAAAAAATAACTAGGTTTAGCTTCAGTATATTACAAGAACATCTACTTGTTGTGACAACTTTTATCCAACATATCATATTTTCAACATTTAAGCAATGCTCCATTTCTTTCTCTAATTATCCTGTGGTTTATAAATTGTGAGTTGAAAACTCTAAGAATATTTTATATTTCATTTTAATGCAACATAGCCTGCATTTGTCTAGATATGTTGCATGAAATTTTACCAAATGGAAATAGTCAAGAATTTCAACTGTTGTGATTGCATGCAATTAAATACTACATTGCTCTTTCTGTACATGTTGTATATGTAAGTGACCCCCGGAATCCCCCAAAGGGAGCTGTTAACATTCCAGTATTTTTACTGTGCATCTGTTGTTGGCATCTAGCCTCCCACCCACACAGGCTAAGACTAAAGTTTATGCTATGTAATAAAGAACATAAAGATGAAGTAATAAAACAGGAATATAGTTACTTACTAGTTGGGTTGCTAAATCAGTTACAGTAGAAGACATTTATAAAAAATTAGCACATGTGTGTAGAGCTTGGGAAATCAGTTTTAAATGCTATTTCTTACATATATTTTTGTTATATTCCAGATGGGAGTTATACAGCTCAATGAGGACTTGATATTTATTGAGCCACTCAATAACACAATGGCCATAACAGGTCATCCACACCGTTTATATAGGCAGAAAAAGTCGGTGGAGGAAAGAGTCACAGAGAAGTCAGATCATCACAATCATTACTGCGGGATCATTTCAGGTAATGAATGGCTTAGGTAATTTTAGGTAATGGTCCTAATAGGAACTAACCTTAATGAGATAAATCATTCTAAACATTCTCTATATCTCTTTGTCTCTATTTCTCTTCTATCTTCCATCACTTTCTCTCTTCTTTCTATTACTTATATTTATTATTTCTAATGCAATATCTCTTTTGGTAAATGATAATTAAATATATCCACTTTAGAATTTACTTTTAGTATCTTTATACTTTAATATCAAGTGGTAGAAATTCAAAAGGTTTTGATAGACAGACATATAGCATGCTCTGTAGCATTCTTGAATTGTGAAAGAATGGTTGAATTAGAAATGATGCTGGGAATTCCAAATCTGGAACCAAGGGCTGTGCTCCAAGAATCTTATTTTAGCCAAATCTGTGGGAATACCATATCGTTTTAACTAGAAGTATCCTTGTTTGTTTGTTTTTTGAACTTATCAAAAATCATCTTGGAAGTCGGTAGGTATGATTCAAGTGATAGCATTCCTTCATATCAAGTGCAAAAAACCATGAGTTCAAGCTCTAGTATGGTCAACCACCCAAAATATTATGTTGCAGAATAAAATTAACAGCAAAATAGAAAGAAAAGACTCAGACTTTCACAAGCATTCCTAGTAATTGATTTCTTATATGACATTTTACAGAAATAAAATGGGACAGCTGTTCTGGGTACTTTGGGTAGAATTCTGTGCAACAGATTTTGTATAGGAACCCCTTTGGATAACTACTTAAAGGTAATAACAAAAACAAAATCTTTTGCAATCCTAAGAATAGTGAAAGAAATGGATGACTTTTTTTAGTACATAACTAGGACTTGGATATTTTACATACATTGAGAAAAAAATTCCCTAAGACAAAAATCTTTAGATATTAAATACAATTATTTTAGTAAATTGCTGACTTAGGAAAAATACTACTAACTAGAATATAAGGAAATATTAAGTTATTAAATAATCTTTAGAATGAAATTTTAAAGGTGAATTGTTGTTAGAAAATTTAGATACCACTTTTAAAATTAATTATGCTATTTGAGGCAGGTCTAGGTATATGAATTTTGACAAGTAGCATTGGCAGAGATCATGGGATGTCCACATAATTAATTGTATAAAGTGTTCAAAGTCAGAAATAAATATAATATGCTTGTGTTTGGAATATATTTGTTTTTTTTTTTTAATTTTTTTTTAATTTTATTTTATTTTAATTGAGAACATACTGTACAGAGGGGTTACAATTACATGGGCAGGAAAATGCATACATTTCTTACCAAGCATTGCAGCCTCCTCCTTTGTTTACCCTTCACCTCCCTTCCCAGCCTCCCCCCTCCCCCCCACCCAATCATACCACCCCTCACCCCCCCAACGACATTGTAAAGCTGGTTTTGACATGACATTTTGTACTTCTCATTGTTGCAACAGGTCCACCTGAATCCTTAAACGACTTGTTTGTCCCCATCTCCTCCCCATGTTATACTGATATCAAATATAGTAAAAGCGGGGGTTACACTGTGGGGGAGGGACATACAAAGCAACAAAGAAATATTATAAATGCGTTAGAAACACATGCATGAAAGAAACAAAAACATTAAAACACATATTTGAGGGTTCGTTTTCCTAACATCACATTCTCTGACTTTTTCCGCTTGACTCATACCTATACTAGATATTGCAAATAAGGGAAACCATGGGACCTATGTTTCTTTGGGCCTGGCTTACTTCACTTAATATAATTTTTTCCAAGCCTTTCCATTTCCTAACAAATGGGGCAATGTCATTCTTTCTGATGGAGGCATAGAATTCCATTGTGTATATATACCACATCTTCTTGATCCATTCATCTACTGAGGGGCATCTGGGTTGGTTCCATGTCTTAGCTATGGTAAATAATGCTGCAATAAACATAGTTGTGCTGGTAGCTTTAGTGTGGCCTTGTTTGTGGCCATTTGGGTAAATGCCCAAAAGTGGGATTGCTGGGTCATTGGGGAGCTCTATATGGAGTCTTTTGAGGAACCTCCATACTGCTTTCCAAAGTGGTTGAACAAGTTTACATTCCCACCAACAATGAAGTAAGGTTCCTTTCTGTCCACATCCCCTCCAGCATCTGTTGTTGTTAGAGTTCTTGATTTTTGCTGTTCTAACTGGAGTGAGGTGATATCTCAATGTTGTTTTGATTTGCATTTCTTTTATGGCTAGGGATGTTGAACATTTCTTCATGTGTCTATTGGCCATCCTTCTTTCTTCTTCAGAGAAGCTTCTCTTTAAGTCTTTCGCCCACTTACTTATTGGGCAATTGTTTCTTTGAGGATTTGTTGTTGGGTGGTTTAATTTTTTGAGTTCCAAGTATATTTTAGATATGAGACCCTTGTCCGTTGTATGGCTAGTAAAGATCTTCTCCCAATCCGTGGGCTTTCTATTGATCTTGCTAGCTATGTCATTTGCCCTGCAGAAGCTCTGCAACCTTATACAATCCCATTTGTCCAACCTTTCTTTGATTTGTTGTGTTTCCGGGTCTCTATTCAGAAAATTTCGGCCTGAGTCGAGGAGACCCAGGGTTTCTCCTATTCCATCCTGTAATGTTTTCAGAGTGTCTGCTTTGAGTTCAAGGTCTTTGATCCATTTGGAGTTGATTCTGGTGCAGGGTGATATATAAGGATCTAGCTTTAGTTTTCTACATGTAGTTAACCAGTTTTGCCAGCACCATTTACTGAAGAGGCTGTCTGTCTTCCGTTCTATTGTTTTAGCTCCCTTATCGAAGATTAGATGGCTATAGGTCTGTAGGTTCATTTCTGGGTTTTCAATTCTATTCCATTGGTCCTGAGGTCTGTTCTTATGCCAATACCAAGCTGTTTTGATTACTATGGCTTTATAGTAGAGTTTGAAATTTGGTACTGATATTCCTCCAGCAGTGTTCTTTCCGTTGAGGAGCGTTTTTGCTATTCGGGGTCTTTTATTGTTCCATATGAATTTTTGGATTGCCTCTTCTATTTCCTTGAAGAATGAGGTTGGAATTTTGATAGGTATTGCATTGAATTTGTAGATAGCCTTGGGAAGTATTGCCATTTTCACAATGTTAATCTTTCCAATCCAGGAGCATGGGAGGTTTTGCCATTTTTTAAGTTCTGTGTTGATTTCCTTTTTCAAGATTTTAAAGTTTTCATCATAGAGGTCCTTCACTTCTTTAGTTAAGTTAATTCCTAGGTATTTTATTTTTTGTGGGGCTATTACAAATGGAGTTGCTTTCCTAATTTCAGCCACACTTTTCTCATTGTTGGCATACAGAAAAGCCATTGATTTTTGGGGGTTAATTTTATAACCTGCTACTTTGCCAAAGTTTTGAATCAGCTTGAGTAATTTGGGAGTGGAGTCTATGGGATTCTTTAAATACAAGATCATGTCATCTGCAAAGAGGGAGAGTTTTATTTCTTCTTTCCCTATTTAGATGCCCTTTATGTCTGCATCTTGTCTTATTGCTGTAGCTAGGCATTCTAATACTAGATTGAAGAGAAGTGGAGAGAGTGGGCATCCTTGTCTTGTTCCTGAGTTAAGAGGAAATGGCTTTAGTTTTTCACCATTGAGTATAATGCTGGCTGTAGGTTTGTCATATACAGCCTTTATTGTATTGAGGAATGTTCCATGGATTCCTAATTTTTCCAAAACCTTCATCAGGAAGGGGTGTTGGATCTTGTCGAATGCTTTTTCTGCGTCTATTGAGATAACCATGTGGTTCTTATTCTTGCTCCTGTTGATGTGATGAATAATATTAATTGATTTGCGTATATTGAACCAGCTTTGCATCCCTGAAATGAATCCTGTTTGATCGTGGTGTATGATTTTTTGGATGAATTGTTGAAGTCGGTTGGCCAAAATTTTGTTGAGAAGTTTTGCATCAATGTTCATCAAAGAAATGGGTCTATAGTTCTCTTTCTTTGATGAGTCCCTGCCTGGTTTTGGGATGAGGGTGATGATGGCTTCATAGAATGTGTTCGGTAGTGAGCTTTCTCTTTCAATTTCATTGAAGAGTTGGAGGAGAATTGGTGTGAGCTCTGCTTTGAAGGCCTTGTAAAATTCCGCTGTAAAACCATCTGGTCCTGGACTTTTCTTAGCTGGGAGGTCTCTTATTGCTGTTTCTATTTCAATGCTTGATATGGGCCTGTTAAGATAGTTTAAATCATCTTGGTTTAGTTTTGGCATGTCAATATTTGCTAGGAAGAGGTCCATTTCTGTCAAGTTCTCAAACTTATTAGCATACAGTTTTGAGAAGTATTCCCTTATAATGTTCTGAATCTTGGTTGTTTTGGAATATATTTGTTTTAAGTTAATCTGTTGTTCCTACTTTCTGTTGTGAAACCTCATCGTAGCAAGCCAAGAATCATCTTGACCATGGTTCAAGTGAGACTATTTCTGTGTTACAATATTCAGTGACCATGATCAAATCAATTTAAATAAGACACATCCTCTTCTTTTTGAATACAAAGAAGGTAAAGACAATAAAACAAAGGTTATAGAATTAAAAACCAAAAATTATAAAGTAGTACTTTTATTATGGCAATGTAAGAATAACAGCAACAACTTTCATTTTGTTCATTTAAGAAGATGAGTTTGTATGACTTCTATTACAAGTCTGAACACTGTGCTTTTGAATGATCATTCCAGCTGTTTGGATTTCTCATGTACACTGATGACACAAAGCAGGCTTTATACATGCTACTGTCCATAGAGGAAGTCATTGAGGGAATTCTAATTTTGATAGGTTAATAAAGTATAAATGTATGACTCATTTTTGAAAAACATTGTTCATAATATGTATTATATATCATATATAATATGCATGATTTACACAGTAATGTTGATCCACTTGAGCCAATGGCTTTATGGAGGGAATGCTAAGTTATCTTCAAGTGATTTACTGAGCCTACCTGTTTTGGATGTTTTTTAAGGATTCAGAATTTAAAACTTATTTTAAACTTACCAGTCCATTAGATAAAA